GCGTCTCGGGCTGGGTGTCACGGGGACCCTTTGTGCCCATTTAACTCAGTTCTGTCGGTCATGGGGGTGCGCAGGGCAGATCTGAGCCTCAGAGGCTCCCCCTCTGTCCCGCTGGCCTTTCCGTTGGAGAAGGGAGCCCCAGCGAACGAGCGCCAGTCCTCCTTTGCCGCTCCCTCCCCACGGGACCCGTCCCACATTGTTTTGCTTTTTCTTCTTTCTTTATTCCTTTTTTCCTACCAGACTTTTGGTGTCTTTGTCTTTTGAAGATGGCGATGTTCTGTTGGAGTTCGGCAGGTGCTCTGGTTGGCTGAATAGGTCCGTAGATGTGAGTTTTGGTGTACTGGTGGGAAAGGGTGAGCTGCAAGTGTCCTTCTACTCTGCCATCTTGCTTCTCCTCCCTAAGCTTACTCAGTTTTAATTATGTTGTTTTTGTTTTTGTTTTTCCATTTATATAAAATTTTATTTTATTGAAGTATAGTTGGTTAACAATGCAGTAATTTCTGGTATACAGCATAGTGACTCAGTTACAACATATGTATTCCTTTTCATATTCTTTTTCATTATAGCCTATTACAAGGTATTGAATATAGTTCCCTGGGTTTAGATGACTTTAAAAAGGACTGGTTCTCAAATGAACAGGGTGGTACTGCCTCCGTAGGGAGTATTTGGAAATGGGGGCGGAGGAGAGTATGGGAGGGAGGAGATTACTGGCATTTAGCACACAGGGCCAGGAATGCCAAAATCCACAATGTGTGACAGTCCCCCAGGACTAAGAACCGTCCCACCCCAAATGCCTACAGTGTCCCTGCTGGGAAATGCCAGTTTAAGCTACCTGACCTTCACAGGGTTACTATAAACTGGGGGTTCAAGAACCATGTAAAAAACTCCAGTGAGATGGTCTTGGGTGTACACTATCCTTCCTTCCCTTCCCAACAGCACTGATCTCTATTTCTTTTTGACTGTAACCTGTGTTTTGGGGGAGGTAATTTCTACTACAGCCAACTCTCCTCTGACAGTTTCTTCCTTTTTAAACGGGTTCCAAGTTGGCCAAATTTCAAATGATCCTTCCAAAGTACTCCAAGCCATCAGTGGGTGTGTGCACACAGATTTGATAAACTGCACAGGCAGCCTCGGTGCAGAGCCATCCACTCCACTCACTATTTACAGGCAGGAAGTTATTCACAGAAAAGACCCAGCTTGTGCATAAAATTCAACAGTGAGAGAACTATTTTGGTATGAGAGCCAGAAAATTTGACAAGTTCTATAATCTAAAAACTGGAAGCAAAGATATAATTAAACCATAAGGAATGCTAATTGTAATCATTTAAAAATGTGGGGCCAGTCACGTATCTATAGATATACTTTAGTAAAGGGCAACTTTGTGGCAAAGTACACTGAGGACTTTCCTGCTGGTTGCATTTGTGACTACAGCCTCATAACAGGCGGCTAAGGCCTCATAGGGTCTGAGGGAGGACAGTGACTCAGAAGCCATTCATTAGGGCCTTAGTGGCAGCAAGATGGCCAAACATACCCTCATCCTGTAGGCAAGGGCTTGCTGGCTCCCGAGGGTCAGGGTTCAGAAATGGAGGCCAGGTTTGGCCTTTCATCACTTTGTATCTTGCATAGGTTTCTTAGTGCCCAAGAGAAAGGGACATGGCGGGGGCAGGAGAACGGGGGCACTTGGGCTGGAGTTCTCTACTGCTCCAGTAGTGACTTCCTGGTGACCAGAACTTGGGTGACACTGTCTCCATCTCAATTACCCACATGTTCACACTGAATCCAACCATAATGGCTGAAACAATTCCAGATGCATGGCTACTACGTTTAACTACAATGAAAATCTCCACCTGAAAACAGGCTATTTGGAATTCTACCCTCTGCTCTTGCAGCTCAGGACATGCAGGATGGAGGTGGTGGTTGTGCATGTGTGCATGTCCAGGAGCCTGTAAGGAGATGGGCTCTCTTCCTCTCTAGACAGAGGAAGACTTGAAGCTCAGAGCAACCTGAAATGCTCTGCCTGGGATGACTTTCTTCTGTTTCTCTAAAAATCATAGGCGTGGTTATGGTTACTGACAACCTGGACAGTGCCCTCACCCTACATCAATGTTTCTCATTTCTCAGCCTTTTCTTTTAACCCCCACCTCTATAGCTAATTTTCACCAATTTGTGGGGATAGAGGGACGGGGAGGGTGTAAACAGGACTTAGATGCCTACTGAGCCCTGCTCATACCGTACATACTCATAGTACAACTGCAGCAGAGCAGGAGGGGAGCACCTTGCAAGGGACTCCAAAGCACCCATTATGAGAAAACTCCCAGGGCTGCAGCTCACGGGCCAGACGCAACATGGGCCACACGTGCAACAGTGCAACACGAGGGCAGGCCACAGAGGAGACGTGCTGTTTTATGTAAGACATGTACACCATCAACTTCCCACTAAAGAAGGTTAAGAGAAACTTAAGTTGTAGAAATGAAACCAAATTTGGTAAAGAAGACTGCATGTCAACAGCAACCTCTCCTAACTCTGCATTTTCTTCCTATAAATACAAAGTTTTGGAAAGCTGGAAATGTGCAGTTGGCTGGAATGAACGTACAAACTGGCTTCAGTATCAGCAACCTAAACTACTGAAAACACGCAGGGCCACCAGCTCAGGCCAGAGCACAGTGAGTGCCAGCAGACACAAACGACGTGTAGCAGAGGGTGCAGTCTGCGATGCCATCTTGAGCCTGGGCGGGGAGTTAGGGATTTGGAGGGAACCTTTTAGTCCCTGTCCTTGAAATGAACCCCTTTTCTTGTTTTATAAGATTTAAGCTTCCTGAAAATAGAAAGGACACAGGCTTTAACCGAGCCAAGTCCTCTTAGCAAAAAGGAGGCTGATGAGGGGGGACAGGACTGAGGTAAAGAAAGCAGACGTCTGTTGAGAGGAGAGGGCTGCCCTACTCTGTCAGACAGCTGGCCCTGACATCTGTGTTTTCTCTCTTTGAAGGCAGTGAAGGAAAATCCCAGAGAACTGGGGATCCTAGCATCAGGGAGGGCAGCCTGTGCCTGGCTAGGCACCTTCCCCACACTGAGAGGCCAGCAGGCGGAGGCGGAAGGCTGGGTGCCGGGTGGCCACCAGAGCCCAAAGACTAGGGGGTGCAGACAGCCTCAGATTGCCCTGGAGAACTGTTCCTGGAATAAAGCCCCTCCTTCTTCAACAGACCAGAAATCTTGCAGCAACTCTGAGGTGGGGGCCCCGGACTTCTGTCAATGTGGCAGCACCTTGCTACTGGTTTGACTTCATGACATTCTCCTTGCCCCTTTCCCAGTCACACAATACAGCATCTATCCCCTGTTCATTCAAAGACTTATGTTGAATCTAAATAGATCTCATGATGCCCTGTGGGGATAATATTTGTTACTCTGGATGAGGCAACACTGCAACTTTGTCACTCTTGAGACTGAAAAATAAAACTCCAGGGAAACAAAATTAGAAAGGTGAAAAGCTCTAAGTTAATTTTTACTACTTAAAATTTTACACTCTTCCGTATTTATCGTTTGTTTGAAAATCAACTACCTTTTACATTGGAAGAGAGATGGCCTTTAGCCACTATGTTTCCAGCACCAGAGAGGAGGACCTGATCACAAATTAAGAGTGGAAAATGAACCATAAAGCAGAACAGCATCCAAGAGCTTCTCTAAAATAAATGTTCATGTGCAATCCGGATGTAATTTTTTTCTCAAAATGCATGAAACGCAATTTTCCACAGGGGGACACAAACATGTCATCTATGGCTGTTAGTATGATTCATTCAGCTAATGCTGTGGGCTGAAGAAAAATCCAACCCTCCAGTCTGAATTTAACCTGAGGTTTAGGGGAGAATATAGCATCTTACAGACTAAAATAAGACTGAGAGTCACAATGCCTACGGAAGTGGCTAAATGAGAAGAACCGTTAACTTTACACATCCTCGGGTAAAACAAGATCCTTTTGCACGTGTGCAAATCAATCGTAGGACTGCAACCGGAAGTCAGAATTCGAGAAAAGGAATAAACAACTCTTCCTCAGCAAACAGGACTCACTTCACAGAAGCCTCAAATGTGGCTTTTTTTCTCTGTTATGGAGGATATTGATAGGCACCTTTGATTATCCATATATTTAAACCTTTAGTAGCACTATTAAAAGAACTGGAAACCATCCTGAAGAGAACACTGTGTCCCTGCTCAGATGGGTTTAAGTGCTTATTTCCAAACAAGAAAATAAGAAATATAGGAAAAAATAAATTAATCTATTTTTGCATTGTTGTTTCTAGCTAACTACTGATTCCTTAGAAGTGAAGTAACTATTTTGATATAGTGAAAATGTGAAAATCTCTTTATAGTGTTTTTCAAATACCGTAACAAGCTGTTCTCAAGAGACAGAAGTCAAGGTGAGGCCTTTAATGGCTTTTTTTGCTTTCGTCTCAGTACTTTCCTCCATTAGACAGTTAACCTATCCTGGCACTCACTGTTTCAAACCCACACACTGAGAAGGGCTGCATTTTGGCAGCTTTACTGAGAAGGGTTCATCTTTATTCAATTACCACCAGAGAAAATTCCCTCTGATAGTCAGCATTCAACAAAAACCAAAGTGTTCCCAATAAACTAGATTTATGGTGTAAAAAACAACCAAAGGCATTTTAACTCTAGTTACTGTAGAGCCAATTTTTAAAACATAAATAAATATATGCATAACTGTTTACTTACTTGGAATGTAGGAGATCATTATCAGAATTAAGAATGCATAGTAGTCAAAGGAGAAATTGTACTTGTTAGGTAAACTGATGGAGTACAGGCCAGCCTGTCTAACAAAGGGCAAGGCGGCATATATTGTGAGCAGTTCTCCTGACACTCCCATTGGGTACAGCACGATGAAAAGGGTGTACCTAAAACAAAACAAAACATTCATTACTGAGGTTCGAAGCCAGCTTTGGTAGAGATAAGACGAGGTGGAGCGCATTCCGGGCGGTATGGCCATAGACCAGCTTTAGTAGAGAGACTCACCCCACTCCGCTAATCAATACTGGTCTTGTAGAAAGCTACCGCTTATACATTTTCCTATTTACCCACTGCTTAAATTCAGGTTTTAAGAGCTAGTTTTTGAAAAGGGCCAAAACAGGTTTGTTTCTGAATGTCCTAAAATAAAATAAATGTGTTTGGTCAGCCTCAAAATTTGGTCTGACTGAAAAAGTAACTCTTCAAAACAACTTAAAATAACTAAGATGATGCCAAATATTGGTATAGTAGGGGCACTGAGCCATGGTTTACATTAAAGGGTCCTGCCCTGTGGGGTAGGCGTGGACTTGCTGGGGGGAAGGTACTGGAACACAATGTCGAGGAACCCCTACGATGTACACCAAGTTGGGTCTGTAGACTGAAAAAAATTGGCACATCCAACGTATGTGCAGTGCTACAATTTTTCAAATGTCTGTATGTGCTACTGTGAAAAATAAAATAAATCCTAATTTAAACGAGGATAGAAACAAGGATAGAAAGCTTTCACCAGCCTGCCCAGTGTGGTTAGGAATTGCTATGTTTTTTCCCATTCTCCCCTTTTCCTAATACAAATGTTTACTGCAAAAAAAAAAAGAAAAGAGAAGTTCACATGCTTGAAATGTTGGAAACATTTGGTTTATGTCTCTATTTAAACACTAAACTCATAAATTGTTTAGGAGCTACCATTTTCCTTTTTTGAAATGAAGCACTTTGGCCCCAAGGACAATTTTGATCCTTTGGCTTTGTCAGTCCTTCCTGTAGTCTTTCCCAAAGCGGAAAATTGCTCACAACTGTCTCACAGATTAGTTCAGATAAACAGATGAAAACTATCAGCCTTTTACCCAATTCATAACACATATTACTGCTAAAAATAATCAAAGCGAAATAAACTGATAATATGTTAAAACTAACATGTAATATCTGTTATTAATTAAAAATTAATTTGAGAGTTATCTTGTTGGCAAAATTGACACGAGAATCGACTCGGTCCAAAAGCTATCATAATGGCAGAAACTCATCAGTAAAATTTTATATGGACAAAAAAGGGATGGAATATCAAATTTCTATTGAATAATTTAATTGAAAAGAACTGATCTCAAAGAAACAAGTAGAGATAAAAAATTTAAAAGTGTTTCCATTAATCAAAGTTATGTAGAGTCCCTTATCCTGATGAAATTCCACAGACCAGATTTCTACCCAACCCGTGTCTCTCACACAAAATTTTATTTTTAAAAATAAAAATAATACTTAGGCAATAAAGGAAAAATACAGTGATAGGTCATTTCGAAAGTTAGTCTTCATCCCGTGTACTTCTTTACCTGGCCCATTTGATGAGGTAAGGCAGATGGTTTAACAGACTGAACGTATAAAAGGAGTAACGGATAATTTCTGTGACTGTCCAGGCAATGACAAACAGCAGGACGCTGTCTTCACTCTGTACCTGAAGGAAAAGGAAAACAAAAGCAAAAGCAAACACATAAAGCATCTTAACAAAGAAGCAGTCACAATGTGGGCAGCCCAGCCCCCGCCCCCTTGCAGAGCTGCTGGGTTGAAGAAGTCGACACAGCCCCTGGTCTCTGTCCTCAGTGGCCGCAGCACAGCCCAGAACAGCCTGCCACAGAAAGGGACATACACATGCCTATGACAACAACTGTGTAGAGCCTAGTGATGGGGCAAGTGAGAAGGAACTCAGCTTACTGATGAGGAAGGTGGGGAGGGGGAATTATACGAGCTGTCGCCCACAGGAAGACACACACAATGAGTGAGTTTCTGCATGTTCATTTGCTGGCCTGATGTGGAGAATGTGAGCTGATGTTAGTGGGAGCCAAGAACAGCTGGATAAGAAGGCAGAAGGGTGAATGGGTGGAAAGCTTGGTTTCCATTAACAGGGATTTTAATTTGCTTTGCATGACAACTTAGAGGAAATTTCAAAGAAGGGCAATACAATGATTAAAACACAACTGAAGATGAAGCTACTTCTCGGGGTAGGATGAATTCATGAGGGAAGCTGGAGACCATCTATGAGGCAGGGCCCATTTATTCTCCCATCAGTGACTTCTTCCCCTAGATG